GTTAGATTTCCAAATGGTATCGTTGGAAAGGGGACCTATCATTCCCTTTGCTGAAGGGAGACCGTCTGAAGAATACAACAGACACGTGTTCTGTGTTTTCTGTACTTGTGGTTTGGGGGAGCTGGAATGTATTTTGGACTCGAATCTAAACACAATTCTCATCTTTAGTACCAAAGACTTTGGTTTGGCTTTATTGGTAAGTGACATGAGTTTGGGCTCGATTGTGCACCTGCTCTGCGGAGCAGGCCAAGGTTAAACAGAGTGTGAACAGAAGCTCTTGGAATCCATAGTTTGTCTCATGTGTCTAAATTGACTCTGTCCTGGGTGGGGAAGTGGCAGGAGGCTCATCCTGAGAGCAAAGGCCTCACACTGCTGTTGTGTATATACGCTTGGGCCCAAAGGTTTTGCCTCGCAGGAGGCAAAACTTTGGGCTCAGGATAGAAACCCTTGCCAACCTCCGTTAAGGCTTTAGTTTGCAAGGGAGCCGAAAGGGAAGTTTACCTTGGAAGGGGAGAGGAGATGGGACAGGCTAGGTCTGTGACCAAAACGAAGGGGTGGGAGAGCGTGGCCTAAAGAATTCCTCCAAGAGCAGGCATGGGATTGGCTATTGTCCTCCCTCCTTGTGTCTAGATGGCCTGCGTCTAGGGTCCTGGTAAACCCTCATGTGTCTGCTACTGAGAAACTGGAGATGGGTGCTGGGGAGGAGGAAGTGGCCGGGCAGGGGTGGGGGGGTGTGGGACAGGCTAAAGGCTCTGCTGAGAGTGGGCACGGCTGTGTGCAAGTTTCAGGATCCTTTCCCTGCTCACCCCTCTGGTCCTTCATCCCTGTAGAACAATCTAGGTCTCCTTTCCTATCTTACCCCTTCTCTTCTCTTTGCTTTTTACCCCAGCCTGCCTCCAGCTGCCCTGCCCTCTTTTCAGAACTAGTTTCTTCTTGTTTTTTATATGCTGACTACAAAACTCTTGCTTCCAACCTTGAAGGTAACTGCTATAAATGTTTTTCTAAATGGCAGTGTTTCCTAGCAACTATGTTGGCTGATAAAGGATTTCCATAAGGGTGTGATTGGCACCCAATGGTTGGTATTGGCAGACAGCAGGCAGCTGAAGCTCAGGCCTCCTAGCCTCCGCCCAATCCAGGGGCTCCTGAGATGGTCTGTGAAAAAGGAGCTTTCTACCTGTTTTTCACCCACAATTATTCTCCCATCAAGTGAATGGGCTGCAGGTGTGAATGACCGTGTTGATGATTTTGCTAATCATTTTGCCTTCTAGTGCATAGATCTGAACTCGGCCTTCTCTCGGAACTCGCACAGGCAGTGGATGACACAATGAAATTCATTAAGTAGAAAATGGTGATCTGGTGCAAGATCAAAGTAATGGGGGCATAAGGATAGCAAAAGTTGCGTTTGGAAGTTCATTTAAAAAGGAAGATACCCTAAGAGTAAGTATGGGTTGAGGCCTCTCTGTGCCCAGGTTGGGCATAGTCAGAACTGCCTAAGTGGCTCTCCTTACAAAAGGGATCAGACGCTAACCACCACCTCTTCCACTCTGTCGGCTGCCCTTGGTTTGTCTTCCTGACCTTGGACATTAAGGGACTTGTAGGACCTCTTATACCACTCTGTGTGGCTGAGTGTCTGGAGGAAATGTTAATCTCTGGTCTGCTTTCTATTGTGTGGTGCTGATATTAAATGAAATGCAAACAGGCTTACAGATACTTGTATGTTTTAAGTGTTCGTATTTAACACAGACTTGCACCCCTGCAGTCTGGAAGTGGGCAGAGGAAGGTAGCAAAATAACAAAAAATAAAAAGATGCAAAGGTGTATGTCCCTGGGGGTGTGGCCTTGACCTTGCTCTTGTGGGTGTCCTCTCCGCCACCTTCTGGCCTGCTGGGTAAGGACACTGCCTGCTCTCTGCTGCAGGCCCCTCAGCTCTGTGCCGCCTTCCCTCGCTTTTAAATACCTCTTAACTGAGTTCTCACGTATAAAAAAGGTTTATCATGAGGCTTACAAATAAGACAGAAAAACCAAAATCCTCAGTAATTTTCTGTTATTGGTATGTTTGCTTCTGGAGTGTTTTTTTCTTCCTATGCATAAGATAAGATTTTTTTGTTACAAAAATGGGATTATGCTGTAAATTGCTTTGCAACTCCTTTCACTTAATATATAGTGAACATCTTTTCCTGTCATTTAAAGCATGTTTTGTGGTGATGTAATCCATCATATGGCTATATCAATTTAAACAATCTAAGTTAGATGATCTTATTTTGCAGGTTTTTTTTTTCTCTTAGGAAGTACAGCTATGATGACCTTCCCTGTAGCTCACACTTGATCACATCTGATATTCTTTCTTTGGGGTATATGAATATATGAAATGCCTACGTCAAACTTAAGACTTTAGGTTCATTTATAGTGCTAAATAGCCCTCCCGGAGGGACTTTCTAAATTAATGTTCTCATAATTGAGGTAAACCTGGCTTTGTCTTCCCTTTTCTACAGTATTCCAAGGTATTACTATATTAAAAACCTTAGATCTTTACCGCTACTGAGACAGAATATCTGTGGATTGGCCATTTGCAGTGGTGTGTGTGGGAGGGGGTGGTTACTTGGGCTTACTAATTGCTCATTTTCCTATTGGTTGTTTTGTAGAAACACATATTAAGGATATTAACAATCTATGTTCAACGTAAATACTTTTCCCGGTTTTTAGATTACCTTTTCATTTTGTGTGTTGTGTTTCAGACATACGAAAGAGTGGCACCATTTTTCTGAGGTCCTTTTGCTGTAGTTTCTGCACTTGGTGTTCTGCTTAGATCTCTCCCACCCCAAAAGTATATAAATATTAATCTGGATCTTCTTGTGACACTTATGGCTTAATTTTTTACGCTTAAACATATACCACAACTGGAGTTTATTGTGCAGCCAGTGGGGGGTAGGGGCTGATGTCCTCTCAGAGCCCCCCCCCC